GCAGGTAAGTAAACACTGCGGTAGTTCCTGCGTCCAGCTTACTGTGGGCAGGCTGTGAACCTTCACATCTATGTGTCTGTACATATGCCAGGCGTTTTTTTTCTGACTGTACAGTACTCACTACATATGTGCTTTGGAAAATATCCAGCTTTAATTGTGCGCAGACGACAGAGATTTTCTCGGTTCAGTCTCCAAAATGAATGTCATAATACCATTGCACGTATTCTGATCCGCCTTGAAGCTTTGCTTTGCTAGTACAGTAAATAGTCTCTTGTGTAAGATAGGTGTGGGTGGAGTACTTGTGCAGTATATTAACTTGCTGCTGTAGCTCAGAGCGATATTCATGTTTACTGGTGGTGGCTTTTCGTGTGTAACACCCCCCGCCCCGAGCACACTGCAGTGCTGGATGTCACGCAAGCGAAGTTTCACAGTGAATACGGGCCAGCAGGGAATACTTTACAGTGTGTGTGTGTACTTTTTGTTGTTGTTCTATCTCATTCTTCCTGCCCACGATTCTTTTTTGTACACGTGGTGTTTTGGGAAGTCGCTTGACAAAGTACTCTGTGGGAAATGAGTAAAGAGTAATAGGGCAGATGTTGTGGAGATGTTGCCCATCTTGGGATTTGAGGGGGGCCATGTCTGCTGTAAAAGCTGATGGTGTCGGGGGTCATCGCCGCGCACAACGGCTCAAACTGAGCACGTGCCACAGCTGGGCTGGCCTTCAGCTTTCTCTTCTTCCTGTTATCATCAAGCAGGGGCCACTTGTGTGTTCCATTCAAGGTGTCCTTGAACAAGTAGTATGGTTTTTTTTCGTTCTCCCCCTCGAACTTGTAGGGTTAAATATCATACATCTCCAAAACTGTCCTTGGAACTGGTCCACAAATCACATCTCGGCACCATAAGTGATATTAACCTTGGGGCTAATGTAGAATATTTGTGGGTTTTGGATGTGCCAGTCATGTAACGCTTTGGTTAATCTGATATATTTTTCTTGTTTTTTTACTGTAGGCTCAAAACCTTGCTTTTACGTACACTGTATATATATAACTTGGCATATATGCAGCGGTAAGGAAATAAACAAAAAATTGTCTTGACCAAACCACAGCATATAATTTATTGGTACAGTATTTTGCAATGCTGACTGACTGGTAACAATTTATTTTGTTCATTTTAAATAAAAAAAATTGCAGTGAAAAGGCTGGGACTGACGAATAATCACCCCTCTGTGTGTGGATTGCTGTTCCCGCAATTTCCTCTAAATAGTTGCATCAGCCTTGAATGAAATCATCAAGGGATAGTCTATTACCGCAGCATTTCATAGAAAAATTGCTTTGCAGTTCAACACCGCAACATTTGAGGTTACTGTTACACTTTCAGCTGTGCTGTCTTCACTATTGGCCAACCCTCGTATTTTCAGAAAGTATCCAACATTATTACGCCGTAGGAGCATGGGTGATGGCTTGGGAGGACTTCATCCAGCAGTAGATGAATGAGTACCTTGATGTGACGCACAGTATGGTCTTACCCATTCCTAAGCTTAAATCTTGACTGAAAGCTTTCGTGACTGCAGGAATTCATATTCTTTGGATCTTTCGGTAAAGTCACGTGGATAGGTTCAAAGAAAATAACAAAAAACTACGACGTTTCGATCGCAACACAAGCGGTCGTCCTGATGACAAGCGGTCGTCTTCAGGACGACCGCTTGTCATCGATCGAAACGTCGTAGTTTTTTTTGTTATTTTCTTTGAATTTATCTATGTGACTTTACCGAAAGACCCAAATAATATTGATTCCTAAGCTTATACAGTCCAGTACGGCCATAAGCATAGTTTATTAAATGTAATACTGTATGAAGTGCTTTTCAGGTACATTGTATCATAATATTACGAATGAGACACACTTGTTGTAGCATTTACAAATCAACTTAAGTGCGAGCGTAATAAGCATATGTACCAATGTATTGCTGTGAGCGCGAGATGTTGTGTTGTATTTCTCACGATTGATGTTCGTCGCTTTTTGGCTGTCGCACCCAATGTTTGTGCTCGAGAACTGTTTTGAACACCCAAAGAGAGGTGTGTGCATGTTTATTGTTGCCTCGTTGCGGTGTTTCGTGTGTAAAGGGTGCCGCACGAAAATGGGAACAATGCATTTCACGCACGTGTGAAACTTGTTAAGTTCACGTTTCTGTTCCAGCTGTGTACAACAGTTTTCTTAAGTTCCACGGTAATCACGTGGTATGTATTCATCAAACCTCTTCTTTTTTGTTTGCAAAAAAGGTAGCTTTCCCAACTTTAAGAATATCAAAATGACTAATCTCAGTCGCAATAGGAAACCTGATGATACTGTGTACGCTATTTTATAAGAACTCGTTGGGCGTTGTTGTGGAACATTGTGGGTAAAAGCATATGTAAACAGAACTCCCTTCTGTGTCTACATCTGTCTAATGGCTTTCCAGACATGATAAAATTTGCTTGCTTCAACAAATTCTGCAGAATCATATCAGTCTCGAAAACCAATACTGTTAAGTTCGATGTACCAAAAAAAAGTATGTATATGCGAAGACAACAACAGAGCTGCGCTTATATTTAGTTACATTTTGGTTCTTGGGTACTGTGGCGCTCAAACACGCAGTCTGTTTGTTAGCTTCCTCCTGATACGTGTGCCGTAGCTCGAGCTCAGGTGTGTGCTCAGAGCAGTTCATGTTTACCCAGTGTCTCTCAAAGGGACCTTTGCCTTTCCTCTAACGTTCAGCAGAGAGCTAAGGGCGTGGTATAACAGTGAGAATACACAGAACGCTCACCAAAGAAGCCTGTCTACCTGTGGCTAAAGTGGGTGCGTGCATGCATTGTGCTGCTCACTGAAGAACACTAAGGACTTCCAAAGTAATTAATGGCCACCGGTGAGACAATTCTAATGGGATGAGAACACACATAATGAAGCTGAATATTCTCATTATAACTGACATAACAACGACCAGGGAGAACATTGGAAGGGTATTTGCATTGGTTAGATGCCAGTATATATATGAAATGTGCACACAATAAGATCGCCTGCAGTGTGTTTAGGAAAATAGTAGACGCAGTGTGTTTCTATTCATCATGATGATCCATACTGGACATCTGTGAAAAAGAGCTTCATAGCTTATCGGATTCCTCCAGTATAAATAATGATTCTGATGATAGTGCCGTAAGTGCGTTAGTTTTTTTTATGCTGCTTGACTGCTACCCCCTGTTTCCATTGCTGGCCAGTACCTTTGGCTGACTCAGGACACGTGGCATACATACTCTGCCGTTGTCATTCTGCAAACATTGTCTCCAGGGCAAAGCTCGCTTTCTGTTTGAATGTATAACCATTGTTCTCCAAAGGCAGCTACTGTCTTGCTTTGTGCTAAATAAAATAATTCCTGTACACAGCGGTGGCCGGTGGGTAAACAGACTGAACCGTTTAGGGATGGCTCACTAAAATATTACGTGATAATAATTGAGAAATCAACATTTTATGGTATATTAAAGCCTCTACATGTTTTCCACCAATATCAAAACACCTACAATATTAAGTATATTAACAGTCTCCTGATATGTGATATCGCCTTCCTTCTTTGTTCCTCTGAGATATGGAGTCACCGCTTTCACAATATTCAGTCGAATGTAGAGAGGAAAGTAAAAGGGTCGTTAGCAATCGGTGGGGTTTCACCCTGAGCCTACGTTGGTGGAGAACAAAAGTTATGATACCCTTGTGCAAACTATAACCGTTGGATTAATACTTATTGGTTTAAGATCCACAAATTAATTAATAACATTTTTTTAAACAGTTTCAGAAATTGGAAATATGATCCTTGCCTAACTTAGCCAGATTGTCCAGGACGATATTTTTGGTGATTGACCGTCTGTGAAGGTGTCCAAAAGTCAGACATGCACATCCGGACTTGGCTTGGTGGTTGGAGTAAAGAGTGGCTTACTCAAAATGAAGATTATAGGGTGGAAGGTTCAACTGTTCCATTCATTTTATATGATCTGTACTACAGAAGTACTCATCTTATCTGTGATATCTGCAGAATCTGTAGTTCTTGAAAACCCATGTGTGGGTATATTTTTACTATTACCTGCAATTATCAATGGATTTTCTCTGTGGATTGGTGGGGTAAATTCACGGATAATAATATCCACAATATTTGCTCCCCCCCCCCCCTCACAATTCCATGTATAAATGAGTATTCCTATATTATTAACAGTGAAGTCCTCAAAATTAATTATGAAAACATTTTGAAAGAGCAAGACATGTCATACAGTTAGTGCTAGTTTCTTAACAGAAAATATTTATTTGATGTTTCTTGACTTGCCAGACATGTTTCTGTTTTCAGAATTTTAGCTTCCTCGTATAAATTAAATATAGTTACCATAACCTTGAAAAATAATAGATACAGTTTCACATCCTGCCATTTTTTCTGTGAAAATGTTCCCGCAGAGATTCACCCATACTGTTTGAGAATGTAAATTTAAACACTGTATATGTCTTGAGATGAAATTGAGCTGAGGACTAAAGCATTTCGCAGAACACAGTGAGGTCTCATGGAATGTTACATCTGCAAAAGTAGAAAATGGAAGATATATTGTTATGACATGGAAAACTATGAGTTATTTGACACCTGCCCGTGACAATGTGCAGTGACCCGTACCACGAGTGTCTTTAACATCCAAAACATAAAAACGCATTGGTGTTTGATGAGCCAATTCTTTGTTAATGTAATAGACATAAATTGTGTGGTAGCATTGTTAGTTGACAATGTTCCATCACGTGTACCTTAACACGTTTTCACAACACGTAGGTCTTTTCAGAGTAGATGAAAACGCACCTTATTTTTCAGAATTGCTTTTTGGGACCCATCATACCTCGAAATGTTACAGATTTACAGTGCCGCTTAAAGGTGAAATATGGCTCAAGGCGTCAGGGAATCATGTCGCATGTGTCTCACGCTATATACCCCTTGTCTCACCTGACAGATGTACGTGGCAAAGGTGTGTCGCGCTTTTCTGAGTCGAACACGCACAATCTGTCAACCCTGCTGCTACACAAGGGAGGCAAGGAGCTCTTCGTGGGTGCGCGAGATGCCATCTTCGCCCTCAATGCCGACGAGGTTGCCGTGCAACTGAAGCCCAAGGTTAGCAAAGAGTTGGTTGTGTCTGGGGTGCTCAGAGGTTCGGAGCAATGAGCTGATACCTCTGAGAATCCTGGGTTTGAATCCAAGCAGGTGCCCTTCATAAAACCAGGTTCTCAAGTGTCGTGAGTTAATCATCTCAGCCCGGTCACCAGTGACTGACTACACACACCAAAATACATGAAATCTGCAGTCCAACTAGAGCCCAGTGTGAGAAAAGTGAAAGTTATGCAGATGGCTCAGAGGCCTGAACACTGCTTAAATTCTGGGTTTGAAATGCAGGCAGCCATCTGATTAAACTGGGTTTGAAAGTGTAGAGTGACTAGATGGCATATTTTTTTCACTAAATTTGGCTTATTCCAGCTCTGAGACTTAAAATCACTGTGTTAGAATTGTCCAAATATCCCAATGCACAACACTCCGGAAAATTACTTTTCAGACTCGGTGAGGCTTTGTTGAATAAAAGACATTCATAACAATGTTTCAATGTTCATAATATTAATTCTATCAGCAATGCTGGCCAGAAACCAGCAACAACAATGGCTGGAAACCAAAGAAAATATAAGGAGATTGTACCAGTGTACCAGCATAGGGTCATGTGTGTGTTTTTACAATGTTTTTAATATAGTAACAGTATTTTTTTAAATCACATTTTATCTAGGGTTCAAAATTTAAATTTAAATATCAATAAAACCAAAATGCCAAGCTTTACAGCACACCGCACTGTGTATGAAACCTTGTATTGCAATCGAGGTCGCTTAATTTCCTGGCTGACACATTTTCTTCCAGATCAGCTGGCAGGCATCTAAGGAAAGCCGTTCTGAGTGCGAGCAAAAAGGCCGGAAGAACGAGGTTTGTGTCTTTTTGTACAGTGCATTCTATAGCATGGTATTTTGTATAACATTGTTGGGCAGTTCTGTATATTAAGGAAACTCACAGTGGAATGATTTTAATTTACAATAGTAATAAGCATGTACAATTTTCAGGTAATTATCTATAGTCTTAGCAAACATGGCTTATTTGTAGAAAAAGTAATTAGTTTGACACATACATTAAAATGAATGCACCATCACCCTCCCGATGTGGATGAAAGAGTCAGATTATCTGAATGTCTGACACGTGGAATACTTACCTGAATTGGTCATAATTGGTTCGACATACTACGTCCAAGTAAAATGGATTTCATTATTATACGATTACCCATATCTCTATAGTGTCTTAGATGTACGTCTGCAGTTGTGGAACTGCCCCTACGGAACTGTGTACTGGATTATTACTGTAATAGTTTAATTTGGGGAAGAGGAAATATATATTTTAAATTTAATCATGCAATACCATGAAATGTGGAAGCAATATGAACGATAAAAATAAAGATCGAATTATGAATCACCAGTGATGAATATATGGCTTTATTTATCTCACTGAATTTATATTGTATACGCATTAGAACTTGTTACTGGTTTAATGTTTGCTGTTATGATGTTTAATTGTGAGTTTTAATTTCTTAAACTTTAGAACCTCTTGTTACAATTATTACAAAAATTATGTTTATTTGTTTTTTATTTTTTGCGATCTAGGACCTTTTGCTGTTACGATTTTTTTAAACCTTGTGTTTTATTGTAAATTTGTATTTCGTGTAAAAAGCTCTTTACTGTTATCATGTACTATGTTTAGTTTCACCCAGGTCTCCTTTAAAAATATAACTTGTTTTCTCAATGGGCTCCTACCTGGTAGGAGGTAAAGTAATTGTATTATATTTCAAATTATAAGGCAGGTGCAATATTATAACTAGATTGTTTTTAGTATGTGAAATCAATCTGCCTACCATGCCACAAGATTACATTAATTAACATCTCAGAGATAATGTTTTGTGACCTTTTGTTCTTCAGACACAATGTTCCAACTTTGTTAAGTTTCTTCAGTTTTTGAATGAAACGCACATTTATGCTTGTGGAACATATGCCTTCCAGCCCACGTGCACATACGTCGTGAGTACTTCGTTCATTACAATTTTTCTTTGCACAGTTCATGGTGAAATTCACTCTTATGTATTATGCACTACACGTTTATGTACAGTTTTACTTAACTTACATATTACGTTCAATTAATTATCATGGTGCTCAACAGAATTCAAATGAGTTTGTACGAATGAAAGATGGAAATAACGTGGATATCTTGGAGAATGGCAAGGGAAAGTGTCCATTCGACCCTGAGCAAGGCTACACGGCACTAATAGCTGGTAAGGAATTTAATTTTGTTACGTCAATTCACACGTACTCCAGAATGTCAAGATGTGAACTTAGCTGTTGCGTTCATGGTTTAAGCTCCGAAACAGAAACGTAGCAGTGCACTTTTCCTGTGCGTATTCTACCATGGTGTAACGGTAAGCACACTGGATTTGCAATGCAGAGGTCGTCGCTTCAGTTCACTCTTCAGGCGCGGGAGTTGAAACAATTGGCAACTTTCTTATATATCGCCACCACCACCTCTGTCCACCCAGCAGTATAAACAGTTATAGCACATTTCTAGATTTGAAGCTTTCGTGACTGCTAGGATCCATACTCTTTGGTTCTATTGGGTAAAGTCACGTAGGTGAAAATAAAATAACACAGTTAGTCATACGGCAGGTCGAGTTGGCCATGAGCACTGTCCCGTGCTCACGTCAGCGGGAAATTACTTTACTGCTAGAGAAGCTGTGCTTTGTAATTCCTGTTTTTTTTTGTAGTAAAGTGGACAATGGATTACAGCATATTTGTTCATTATACATAATCGTGCAACTATATGGGCCGATCTCATCTTGATTTGTCCTGTTATGACACTTGTGGTTATGCCAAAAAGGGCACACTGGAGACATTTCATACTTTGTCCAACACTCCTTCTGCTACAGAGAGACTGTGAGGCCATGTTTGCAAAGATCATCAAATATTAACATTTTTTTATTTTGCTTGTTCGAGCTTTGCCAGGTACTGAAAAGAGACTGTTCTTGTGAATCATTCACATTTATTTTCTGGCCTAAACATTAATGTGTGTGTTACGTGTGTGCACTTATTAACAGTAAATGGTGCTCTGTTTCCTCAATTCTGTTCACTGCAAAATAACTACAGTGTAGCATTTATAATGATAAGTGTATTTCCCATTAGAATATATATTTTAAATAACATATAATTTTAGTATGGAGAAAAACAACATGTGCAATTGATATAAGATATATTTATATATTACATGTGTAAAAAAACTTTAATTCTGCAAAAAAATTCACAATGTGATGTTTCATGGCTCAAAAAAGCAAAGTACAACCTTTCTGCACTTTGTAATTGAATTCTGAAAAGGTTCAGGTTAAGACAATTTAAAAACGGAAACACCTGCTGATAACTTCCTCTGCGTAATTATAAGTATTTTGCTGCTTCAATTTGGGCCCTGTGAATCTGTGGAACAAAGAGCTTTGGTTATTCTTCACTAAAGGGACGATTTATTGCCCTTCTCTGCAACAAAAAAAATCACAATCCCCTAGCACTTTTTATTTTTTATTATTTTTTGCCTTTTTTAATATGAAAAAACATTTACAGCTGGCAATACCCGGCAGCTGCGAGCCACCGGGAAGTTTTTTCAGGCAATTTTTAAGCATTCTGTGTGCAACTGAGTGGACATTAAATACCTTGTTGATAACATTCATGGATATATCAATCAGTACGTTTGCATATGGCAACACACAGTATTAAATGTGCACTTGTTTGAGTTCCATTAAGCAAAATTGCATTTCTCTTCACTTGTTTTAGTTGCATTATTCACAATTACATCTCACTGTGAACTTACATTTCTTCAAATGGTTTCCTGAATAGCCGCGGCTGGCCGAGCCATTATAGGATCCCTAATAAGCAAAGTAATTTGCTCTTTTTACAACTGAGTGGCATATGCTTAATATAGCACCAACTCATCTGTCACTTATATAAATGTTCTACCGAGTCGTCTCTGTATGCTGAGCTACCAGTACAGTATCATCTTTTTAGACAGTGTTTTGTATTTTTGTGACCATCATGCTACCACACCCCTGGAAGCTTAGCTGATTAAAGCTTGCTAATTGTAAAAAAGCAGAACATTCAAGTATAGGCAAAGGCAGTAAATGAAGTGAGGCACTGACCCATTTCTAAAACACAGAAACGCTTTTCTGCTTTCACGGGAGATGCCATCACTCGAAAATAAATGCCCTACATTATGAGATTTACTAAATAACTTGTTATCCCAGTGTTACATTTTTAAGCATACGAAAGCAGCAACAAGAGACTGGAGTTGTATAAAGAACCACCACCTCTGTTAAATAGTTTTTTGCTCACATTACAGTTTGTATTCTTTGGTTCTTTCGGTAAAGTCACGTAGATAGAAAAAATAATAATACATATTCTTGGTTCTTTCGGTAAAGTCACGTAGAAGGGAAACAATGAAATAATAAAAATATAAACAATAAAATTCTCACGACGTTTCGACTGCGTGAATTGGTTTTCACACCTGATGATGATGATTGCTTGTGTTGCAGTCGAAACGTGATAATTTATTGTTTTATATTTGTATTATTTTATTGTTTCCCTTCTACGTGACTTTACCGAAAGAACCAAGAATATGAATCACTGCAGTCACGAAAGCTTTAAATCAAAATAATAATACAAATAAAGTGAATAAAAATACCACGACGTTTCGATCGACAACACGAGCGGTTGTCATCACGAAAAGGGGTTAGCCTCTAAAAGGCAAACTGTTTATAAAAGTTTGGAGATGGGCGTAGCCCAAGTGTAGCAGCAGCAGCAGTGGCGGCATGGGCGGGGCAGCAATGCCAATGCAGCAGCAATGCCAATGCAGCAGCAATGCCAATGCAGCAGCAATGCCAATGCAGCAGCAATGCCAATGCAGCAGCAATGCCAATGCAGCAGCAATGCCAATGCAGCAGCAATGCCAATGCAGCAGCAATGCCAATGCAGCAGCAATGCCAATGCAGCAGCAATGCCAATGCAGCAAAGGGCCGCCAGGAAACCACTGCACCCCGCTCCACACACCACACTGCTGACGGTGGAGCTTGATTCACAAGAAAACACAAGTCAAGTCATGACCCAAAGTGACTTTACCGAAAGAACCAAGAATAGCTTTCCAATGATTGCTGAGTTTATAACCATCCTCTCGGTTGAAATTGTGTCTGTATATATGGGTGGCTTACAGTTTTTCTTTGCTATAGTGCTTAACCTAATTTGTACTTGCCTCACGTGCATGCAAACAAGCGAATTATGTATGTAAAAATCACATCCTACAACTTTTTTAAGCACACCCAGTGGATTTTGTGGCTTTGAGGTACTCATGAGAGTTTCAGAATAGTGTTAGTGACCAATGACATCTGCTGACAGAGTTTAAAGGGTAAAGTTAGGCACATCTCAAAGGACCGCAACACCATTTGTGTGCGAGTACATGCAAATAATGGAGCCCCGTCGTCACTAACACTACCTCAAAAATTAAACTTAAATGTAAAGGTTAATGTTTTGATCAGTTACCATATCCCTCTTTTTTTTGCTCAGTGTATTTTGTTCACATTTTACAGTTAGAATAATAGTTAATTATTAGGAAATGGTAACTACAATGCAGTGGTTGGATCGTGGCACATGATGGTAATGAAACAGTGTGATGGTGGTGCAGTTTTTCCAGTCTGTTTGGGGCCGTGACTGGCCAAGCGGTGACGCATTTTCCACTGATTGACGTTTGTGGTATTAATCTCATAGGCCACCCTGGTTATTTCCGTTAAATGAATTCCATCTGTATCACAGTGGATGTTAAAGATCCCCTGGCATTATTCGAAATGACGAGGGCCACTGTATGCCGGCGTCTTGGTTCGAATTTGCCAAATATAAAAAAATTACCCGCAAATTACTCATTTTATCTTCTTCGGTTCTTTCGGTAAAGTCACGTAGAATGAGAATAAAATAATAAATTGATAAAATAAAATAATAAAATTCTCACGACATTTCGGCCACAACACAAGCGGCCTTCATCAGGTGAAGGGACGAGACTGTCTGGAGGACAGCGCTGGAGCGAACAAAGCCACGCACCTTTAAGCTGTGTGAGAAGAAACAAAGCGCCTTGACAAAGGAATTAGCATAGAATTTAGCATTGAAATAGCTGAGTGATTAGCTTGTGACTGGTCACAGAAATGGCTATGTTAAAGTCAAAGCATACACATTCACAGAGGCACCTAGTACAAATCAAACAGGAGAATTTGGCATTGAAATAACTAGGAGAATTTAGCATTGAAATAACTGAGTGATTAGCTTGTGACTGGTCACAGAAATGGCTATGTTAAAGTCAAAGCCTACACATCTGAGCTATTCACAGTAACTGGGTATACACTACACTATATAATGAATACTATATAGTAAACCAATAAAAAGCTAAAATATAAATTACCTCAGTGTTATCAATAAACTCTATATATTCTCCAATCAGCTAAGCTACCAACAGTAAGTCGTTATATATCAGTCACAAGCTAATCACTCAGCTATTTCAATGCTAAATTCTATGCTAATTTCCTTTGTCAAGGGGTGCCTCTGTGGATGTGGATGCTTTGACTTTAACATAGCCATTTCTGTGACCAGTCACAAGCTAATCACTCAGCTATTTCAATGCTAAATTCTGTGCTAATTCCTTTGTCAAGGCGCTTTGTTTCTTCTCACACAGCTTAAAGGTCACGATCTGAGCGTGGCTTTGTTCGCTCCAGCGCTGACAGTCTCGTCCCTTCACCTGATGAAGGCCGCTTGTGTTGTGGCCGAAACGTCGTGATAATTTTATTGTGTTATTTTATTTTATCAATTTATTATTTTATTCTCATTCTACGTGACTTTACCGAAAGAACCAAAGAAGATGAATCCTTGCAGTCACGAATGCTTTAAATCGAAATTTTACTCATTTTATATTACACACACAGCAATCATCGCCCTCTATTGGCAGACTGATGCCCGCTTGCAGGCTAGGTGCTGAGTCGGTGTGTGCCACACAGGGACAGCTGCCACTGGGGGTGCCCTTTCGCATGTTTGAGATGAGAAGGGATGCCTGTGCTCTATCAAATGCGAATCATTATAAAAGGCCAGTTGTGCATTCATGTGGATTTTGTATTTTGGGCTTGAAAAAAAGTCTTCACAAAGATGAAACACTGTTATAAATACGTTCACCAACCTTTTGAGTTTCAAATTCAAAAATTAAATCGTGTTA